TATATATATATATATATATATATATATATATATACATATATATATATATATATATGTATATATATTTGTTCTAGGTATATGGACAACCAAATACCATCTACTTTGGATTTGGTTTTCGCTAAGTCCCTGGACTTCGTGACTGACATTTCACACGGTGCACCTCTAGGGTCCAGCGATCACGCATGCATATCCTTTCGATGTGCTCTTTCATGGCACCAAGAGACCGCTGTTGAATTACTTCCGAATATGTCGGCCGGTGGCCGAGTGGTCTGCACGTTTGCTTTGCAACCATAAGGTCACCGGTTCGAATCCGCGTAGGGGTGGGCGTCCTCGCGGTATACTCAGCCCGCGCGCGACTGGTGGTGGTCGCGCGTCAGCGAAGCACCGTTACGGCGTACAGCTGACACATTATTTTATTATTATTTTTACTTCCGAATATTTGGCGGTCGGACTTTAGTGCAATGCGAACTAAGGCTTCAGTTCTGAACTGTGAGGTCTCGATGGCTGATTCTGTCCAGTTAGCCTGGGATAAATTTAAGGCAAACCTTACGGAGGTTTCCACTCCCTATATTCCACTCATGAGGAAAAGAGGGTTAAGGGCACAGCCTCCATGGATAGATACCACAGGCAAGTACCTACTCAAGAAACAGTCTAGATGCTGGCGAACCTACCAAGCAGCTCCATCAGCCAGCACCTATGATAGTTATCTAGAGATTAGAAATAAATGTAAGCAACATCTCAGAACTGCTCGTTTCCAGTACGAGCAGGGTTTAGCGGACTCGGCCGCAGCTAATCCCAAGAAGTTTTTTGCTTACGTTAACAGACGCAGCGGAGCAAAACTGTCTATACCAGCTTTATTGCTAGCAGACGGGACCCGTGCGCAAACTGACTATGAAAAGGCTTGTATACTTAGTGATCAGTATACTGGGGTCTTTGCTCGGGAGACCTCTTTACCGCAGGTTGAATTGGTTTCAAGAGTTCCAGAGGATTCTTGCGTAGATGAATTTAGCATAACGGAGACACAAGTCTTCGAGCTACTGCAGGGCATTAATCCCTCTAAAGCTTCCGGTCCTGATTCAATTCATCCGAAGCTGTTGCATGAATTGGCCACGGAGCTGAGTGGTCCGCTCACATGCGTGCTTTCAGTATCACTGGATAGCTGCAGCCTACCTTCGGAATGGAAGGAGGCAATCATCTGTCCGATTTTTAATGGCGGTGACAGTGCTCTACCCGCTAACTACCGGCCTGTCAGTTTGACAAGCGTAGTAGTCAAGTTGTTTGAAAAGCTGATAAGAGATTCAGTGGAGAACCACCTGAATAGATTCAACCTTCTCAGTGATGCGCAACATGGATTCCGCAAGGGATTTTCATGTCAGACTAATCAACTTGTAGCTCGTGAAAGCTGGGCCGAAGCGGTAGACAGTGGCCACACTGTAGACGTGCTATTCATGGAATTTTCGAAAGCTTTTGACACTGTTCCACATCTTGGGCTCTTACTAAAATTGAGATCTTACGGGATATCTGGTCGCGCCCTTCAACGGGTGTCTGCCTTCCTTGAGGGGAGGGCACAGTGCGTACGGGTGGGGCGTAGCCTTTCGCTCAGGCAAGCTGTCCTTAGTGGCGTTCCGCAGGGCTCGGTATTGGGGCCATTGTTGTTCGCGATCTATGCAAATGACTTGCCAGGAGACCTAGGGGTGTCATCACTAATGTTTGCTGACGACCTTAAGCTCTGGAATATTGTGGATATCCCGGGGGTCCTGAGGCAATTCAGCATGCCTTGGATAGGCTCTGGGAATGGTCTATCTTATGGTTGATTCCCATAAATAGGGCCAAATGCTGTGTTCACGAATCGGAGCTGCAAATCCTCCCACCCGATATGTTGTCGGCGGTGATGAACTCCCTGTTGTCACTCAGCAGGCTGATTTAGGAGTCGTGCACGCATCAGCACTTCATTCTGGAGACAACTGAAAGAAGGCTGCTTGTCGAGGGTTTCATATGATGTGGTTTATCCGCCGCTCTTTCGAGAGAGCCTATGGTGCGCTGAGGCTGGTGGTGGCTAGATCCTGACAGATGGTCTACCCATTTCTGCTACTGTTGTGCCATTTGCTCATGTCCTGGGCGCCTCCTCGTGGCGACCGCTGGGTGGGATTTGGGTTTTCCCCTTCTCCCTGCTAAGATCCAGGACACCAATCCGCATGAGTCAGTGAACTGACCATGTGCTAGACCCGCTGCCTTTCGGGCGTACATTTAATCGAAGGCTTTGGCTGAGGACCTGAGTCGTTCTCCTGTCAGGATTGGGCGCCCTGGCAGTATCCTAGTCCATCCTCTCCGGAGGTTAGGAAGTGGTCGATGGCCCACTTCCCGTAAAACCTAGCCATGGGAGACAACAGGTTTACGGGTTATAATCTCACAGCTCGACTGGCGTAGAGCACGAGGGCCACGCGTTGTCTCTGACGGTGGGACACCTACGGGTGTTCAAATGGTTTGCTACATCCCGCCTCAAGCCAGGCAGCCCCTGGTCAAGTTGGTGCAAACCCGCCAAAAACCCACCTGCGTCTGGCCGTGGTCGCAGGTGCGTATCCAATTACGGTCGCAAAACATATGATAATTGTTCCAGAACCTCAAAGGCTGCGTGTGACGGCCGTCAAGCAGATCCAATTTGTCTCTGCAATCACATTCCCGAGCTGGATCTGCTGTCCACTGCCTTGTGGGTCAGGCTATTGAGCCAAAGGCTCCGAGTGGAGTCCCTCAAGCAAACCTCCAAACCACCCACTGCCTTGTGCGTCAGGCTATTGAGCCAAAGGCTCCGGGTGGAGTCCCTCAAGCAAACCTCCGAAGCACAACGACCACCTCGCGTGCGATTGCCCACCAATGCAATCGTATGCCTGCGCGCAAAGCACTCAGCATCGGGTGATGGAACGTGCGCACACTACTGGACCGGAACTCCAGCGAGCGCCCGGAGCGACGCACTGCACTGGTCGCAATGGAGCTGGCGCGCTACCAAATCGATATTGCGGCGCTCAGTGAAACTCGGCTCGCTGAGCAAGGTAAGTTGCATGGAGCAGGTGCTGGCTGCACATTTTAATGGGTGGGGAACGCCGCCTCAGCACCACGTGAACATGGGGTCGGATTTGCAATATCCGATCGCCTGAATGGCCAGCTGGTGGGTGAACCAACGGGCATCAGCGCGCGACTGATGCCTGTTCGCTTACGACTCGGAAGAGGTAAGTTTGCTACTTTTATAAGCACGTATGGTTCGACTATGTGTTATCCCGATGATACGCGTGATCAATTTTACACTGAGCTATCCTCCGTGATACGGTCTGTGCCGAGGAGCGACCGACTATTTCTGCTGCGTGATTTCAACGCGCGCGTTGGACGTGATGCATCGGTGTGGACAGATGTTATCGGTCCGCATGACATTCGTTTAGAGAATGTGAACGGTGACAGGCTGCTATCACTGTGTGCCACTCACGGCCTGACGATCACGAACACTCGATTTGCACTGAGTGCGAGTGAGATAGCAACTTGGACGCACCCACGGAGTGGTCACGCTCACCTGCTCGACTATGTCATCGTTACGTCAGAGTGATAAGCGTGAGGTGCGCATGACATGTGTACTGCATGGAGCTGAGTGTGTCACTGGATCACAAGTTGGTTGCGGACCAAACTGTATATATATTTTCGTAAATTAATGTATTTCACTACCGCCGTGAATCTCCGTAAATTTCACATTCTCTCCCTCGGTACTGTGGCGAAACCTACCTGAGCTGGAGAAGGCGATGGCTGCACGCCTGTGTGATGTGGACTGCATAGCCACAGTGGGCGACCTGTGGCACCACATTCGCGACCTGGTGACAGCTGCTGCCGAGGCGACCATCGGGCGCACAAACTATAAGCGGCCTGATTGGTTTGATGAGAACAATGCGATGATCGGCGCATTGGTATCGGAGAAGAATGCAGCATTTGCCGCACATGTGGCAGACCCCAGTGACTTGGGAAAGAGTAGTCAGTTTCGCAAACTTCGACGGCGACTGACCCGAGAGCTCCGTCGCATAAAAAATGCATGGTGGACGGAGAAGGCGAAGCAGATGGAATGCTACGCTGAACGCCGCCAACACAAGGAATTCTTTGACTCCTTGAAGGCGGTGTATGGACCGAGATTGGAGCCTCTGAGGACACTGATCGATGGTAGTTCAGGCGCTACCTGCACCCAGACTGCGGACATAATGCAGATCTGGCGGAAACACTTTTTATCTTGAACAACCGTTCAGAGATCGACTGGCCTACATTGAACGGCCTGAAGCAGCACGATGTGAAGGCGGATCTGGGGGATACGCCGACACTGGATGAGACGCAGAGAGCACTTGCTCAGCTGCGACACGACAAGTGTGCCG